AGTGGTTACTGTAAGCTTTATTAATCCATGAGTGAATGATAGAGGCATTGGGCACTTTCTTGTTGGGTGGTCTGTGTCCTCTACTATTTCCATAACTTTTTTCTCACATTGCATACTAAATTTGGATGTAAAAGCACAAATAATGAATCGGTCAAAAGTTTGACCTTGTCCATCCATTTTATATTCAATGTAAGTCATAAAAAAATAGAATGAATTTTTTTTTTTTACAAGTAGTGTAATTTCAAAGGGTTAAATAAGGTCACATGTTTATCTGAGCTATCATCCCTTTGGTAAACTATGATTATCAGAATCCATATAAAAAGCAGCAAATTTGGCTTTATATTCAAAAGGACTATCAGCAACATGGCGGTAAATCACAAATGCATGTCTGGATGAAAGATCTTGAAAATGAATTGATAAATAAGAAGCGGCAGATTGCCAACAGAAGAGTGTAAGAGAGAAAGACATTAACCAGATACAGATGCTCAGATAATCCGGAACAGATCTGAAAGTATATATCAGTCTAAGATTGGGACATTCCCAAGAAACTGTAGATATGGATAGCAAGTACAAAGGACATTGATATATCAGATTTTTCAGAGCCAAAAAGTGAAATGATTCATCACACGGTATAAAAAGGTGAATAACTTCTCCCTAAACTCTATAAAATGTCATCTGATATGGCTAACACAAACTTCAGCTGGTCAGATGGGTATCACACAAACCAGAATCCCCAAACGCTTTGATTCCTTTACAGTTTTTTTTTTTTTTTGCCAAGTAAACCACAAACCACAGTGGAAGAATTTTTCTATCAAACCACAACTCCTCTGGGCACGAGATCTGAACGTTTAACCAACCCAAAAACCTTAATCATAAAACCAATTATAGGCATTATTAACTTCCCAAAACACACATTAAGAATAAAAAAAAAGAATTAAAGGAATATTTCAGGTCAAACCGAAGCTCACTTATTAAATTAATAACAATATAATAATAATATTATAATAATAAAAATATTTTATTAGATTAAATAATTGCACTCAATTTGTAAAAAAAAACAAGCATATTTCTAAATTAAAAATCATTAAAATATTATTTTAATAAATCGTTACAAAATTAAAAACATTCATCGATTTGTAAAACTAAAACAAAAATAAGTTGTTAAATAATGTTATAAATATAAAGTGATTATTAATAAAATCGTTTAGTAAAATAAATAATAGCACTAAATTGGTATAAGACAATATATTGTTATTTAAATTAAAAAAATGATTTAATTTAATTAAAACCATTTAAAAACAACTGAAAATATTTAAACATTTACATAAAATTTGTAAAAACAAAACAAAAAATATTTGTATTCATAAAATAATTTAATATTATAAAGAAATTCAATCAATTTGTAAAAAAAAAAAATATATAAATTCTATAAAATAAATAAAAATACTTTACAATAATTGCACTTATATTGTTAACATTAAAATTAGGGCTGTCAAACGATTAATCGCGATTAATCGCATCCAAAATAAAAGTTTGTGTTTACATAATATATGTGTGTGTACTGTGTATAACTATTTTGTATATAAATGCACACACTTTATATATTATTTAAGAAAAATATGTTTATATATAAAATGTTTATATTTATATAAAATATACATTATATATAGGCTACATTCAGTCTATATACAGTATCTACATGCAAATATTTCTTAAATACACATGCATGTATTTATGTATTAAAAATAATTATACACAGTACACACACATTATGTAAACACAAACTTTTATTTTGGATGCGATTAATCGCGATTAATCGTTTGACAGCCCTAATTAAAATATGTATATATCGTTAGTTAAATTAAAATAATCTCAAAAATCTCTTAATATGATTAAAAATATATTTTAGTGAAATTAATCATTTAAAATTAATAATAAATTAAGGACATTAAAGTGTCCTTCAATACTGTTGAAAAAGCATTGCAAGATTATGCTAAAAAATACAAAATAATGAATAAATATAGCGATAATAAAGAAAGTGTAGGTTTATTTTGACTGGTAAATCAAAGCACGGTTAGAGGCAAAGTAACAGTGTGTGCTGAAAGTCACTTCAAGTGTACTGACTGAACAATCATAATGTAGACTGCAGTCCCAGGGAGCTGAGCTATTGTTACCAGCAGAACAAAGCTCACCCCAGATAAAACAACAATAGCCGTGTCCCGCGAGGCAGCAGTGCTGGCCTGCACAGATAAGGGTCTCGCAGTCCCCGCCTGGCTTTCCTCATGCGGCTCTACGTGAGGACTCACATCACAGTCAATCTGTCAGCTTCTCCTCTGCCTTTCAAGTGCTCAGAGTGGGTGTGAAACAAGACCTTACAGCCACTATCACAACAGATCCCAATAATGAAACCCATCCGTCTTCAAATCAAAGGATCCGGCGACTTCACAAAACTTGTATACATTTTATACGGTCACTTGCTGACCTGGTCTTATGGGAATTCACAGCTTTCTGGAATACTTGATTCTGATTGGTCGTCCATGGATTGCTCTGTTTTTTTTTCCTCCTCGTAATATTTTTTTTTTTTTTTTTTTTTATTTTTTTATTTATGTAAATGTGTAGTTTTATATTTAAAACAAATCTAAAGTGCTACACCCATGTCAATAAATATTTTTGATCAAATGAATCACAATGATTCGAGATCATTTTAGAATATTCCTATGGGAGGAAATTTACAAGGACGGAAACAAACAAATCAGAGTAGCACAATATACACACCATACAGCAAACAGGAAAAGGAAAGAATCAGGGGACAATGAACATCACTGACGTCCAAACCTTTAAATTCATTCAATGCACATCCTGTCCTGTCCAGTGAAGTTGTGTGAGGCTATACACTGTACATACTGTAAAAACAGGGTATTTGATATCAGAATTGTTTTGAGGTATTAAATGATTAAGCCTCAAGCTCTGATGTTTGATCAACTCAGACACAGCAATAACAGGTTGACACTTCTTTTTTGTTATGAAATTATTTTACATTTCTGTTAAAGGGAAGTTCATCGCTGTAAAAAAGCACCAATAAGTTATGACAACTTATGTTTTTACATTGCTTTAACTCATCATAAGTTAAGCAATTTTCAACTTTTTTTTACAAGTTATACAAGATTCAACTCATTTTTTTTAAGTCAGTTTAATGTAATTTAAGTTGAAATGACTTAAACATCCAAGTTGATTGTACTTAAAAAATGTAAGACCAAAAATTTGGTCTTTTACAGTGTATAAATGAAACTTCTGTCATCATTTACTCACCCTCAAGTTGTTCCAAGCTTGTAGGAATTTCTGCTGAACACAAAAGAAGATATTTTGAAGAATGTCTGGTGAGTAAATAATGACAGAATTGACATTTTTGGGTGCACTGTCCCTTTAATAAAACGTTTCAAAAGTCCTCCATTAATCATACATCTTCAGTTCAACAGATACTTCAGTTTGCGTTCTCAGAAACTCTCAGGTAAAACATATACAATGTAGGCCTATATACATACAAACCAGACTTTAAAACCATACCCTCTGTAAAATCCCCATTATTACTTACGTATGTCAACAAACAAATAAAATATCAAACTTGAAGGCTTCACTTAAAAAAAATGTGCCAAATGTACCCCGGTATTGCCAAAAGTACCGTAGTAAAACAAAAACATGGTATAATTTGAAGAACTCCAAAAAAGTATGTAAATAATATGAGTATGGTAAATTAGTAATTCATCAAAGTATCATGGTATTATCACCTTACACCATCCGTGGTTATTTAAAGTTGTCGAAATAGCCAAAAACAACATTTAAAAACCTACCGAGTGTTATTTCCCCTCGTTCTTGACGCTTTTATTCCACTTTTCTGGTGTAATGTCAGTGATGTGAGTCTTGTGAAGATGCTCGCGCGTGCTGTCCGCACCTCCTTCACTATAAACAAGCGAGCAGCAGCGCGCGCCAGGAGCGCACGAGACACTCCTCCTCCTCCTGCACGCGATCCTCTCCAAACCTGTCATATCCGTCCAGTGTGCTGATCACGCGCTACATGAGTGCAGGTGTGTATATCCGCCAACTTCCGAAGGACAGTAGAGTCTCCGTTTGATCGGAACATTAAGTGTCCTATAAAAGCCACTAATGTAATAAGCACCGGGGTTAGTTGTCACATATCCCAGTAGTCTATAAAATGTAAGTTAAAAAGCTCGATAACACAAGTGTGTGTTCTCTAACAGAGGTTTCCACGGTGACAACTTACCCCAAATACACACAAAAAATAAAAAACATTTCGCAGACAAGGCTGACGCCTAGTCTTAGGCTAAAAAGCATGTTTGAGCTGTTTTAACTGAAAGAAACTTGCACTGACAGATCTTGAAATATGTCAGGGTCATTGTTTTGTCTCAGGATGCACACCAGTAATGTTTTTTTCTAAGGCGCGTTTATAAAAGCTATTAATGTCCTTGAACTAAGGCCTAATCCTTGCTGCCTTCTGTGAAACCAGACCTAAGCCTCTTAAAAAAAAGTGTACAGTAAAATTCCATCAAATTGAATTGAATAATCCTTACATATTATGAATTAAGAAATTGAAATGAGTAAAAAAAAAAAAAAAAACTAGAGCTTAATAAAATATTTTCGGAATTAATTGAATATTCAATATTAGTTCCAATATTAATGGAATAAGGGAATGGACCATTTAGTTTGTGAGTCACATTCATAAAAAAAATAAAAAATAAACTTTAATGAACTGAATGCGAATCGCATAAATGGTCCATTCCCTTGTTCCATTAAGATTTATACAAACTATTTTATTAAGCTCTATTTTTCTCTTATTTAAAATTCTTATTTCATAACATGAATAATAATAGGGTTATTCAATTCAATTGGAAGGAATTTTACTACGCAATTGAAATGCGTAAATCTTAAAAAAAGGCTTTATTTATTAGGATAAACTGTATATTTTTCCTGGGAAATATCTAATATTTTTTCCCTTATCAAAATCCCTCTATACAGGAACTGACTTTCAGAAATAAACATAATCTGAGAAATATAATCAAATTATATGACAAAATATCATTTTTTTTAAAGAAAATCTATTTTTTTTGCACTTTTCTGCACTTTTTTATGACAAAAATAAAGTCACAATAATTGTACTCAAAAATAATTTTAATTATATATATATATATGAAACAGGTTTTAAAAAAAACATGCTGTAATATGCTTATATGAACGAAGAGATATATACCTTCATAGGCCACTAAGCATTTAATAATTTTTCAGTTAATCAATATACTAAAATATAAATAGTTTATATAGCCTACTGTATATTGTGTAATTTACATGTTATGAAAAACTACTGTAAAATGATTTTGGACAAGACACAAAGCAAAGAGAGTTTCTACAAAATGCAGCAGGAAGTGGGGTATTTTGTAATGTGAACTTTGTTTTCTCTCCCAAAAACAAAGTAATCGTAGTCTTTCCCACTGTAGGCGTAATATACATGAGTGAGAGGAACCAGCTCGATCGACTGACGCTGTAAGAGAAAGAGCCAGGGAATGTAACTGTACAAAGAATATTACATTTGAGATATTAACTTGCTAATATTTTCACATAAATGGAAGACAATTAAGGGTTAAACTCAGGCCTACATATACGTTATAAGTGATTAGTTGTTCAAGGCAGTGCTGCCACCTAGAGGTCAAATTTGCCGTTGCATTCTCTTATAACCACTGCAAATGCTATTCACCACCAGACACGCGATTTTTAGCCTATTATTTGATAATTACGTTCATTGATAATACCATATTTCAGCAGGTTTCTGCTCACCTGCTGCAGGATGCGGCTCACAGCGGAATATTTTAGCAGGTGGTTCTGGATGGATGTTTTTGAGGCGTCACAGATGTCCTGGTCAGGGAAGCCCTCTATCGGATAAACCTGCAAACATGCATTGCGCTTTTTATATATATCCTATACACATCTGTGCACGTGCTAGTGTATGATATATATTTTTAAAACGCAGTTATGTTAATATATTAGATCAAACATGATTAGACAGGATGTAAGCACATTTTTTTAACATTCTATGTTGTTCTATATTACAACTTTAACCCTCATGTCCATATTTAAATAGCCAAATGATAACCTAATTTCTAAATTATTTTACATCTTATTTTGCTTGAGAATGGTTTTATAAGATCCTCTGACGGTCTGACCTGATAAAAGGTATTTAGAAATAACTAAGCACAAATAAGTTTGAAAAGATGGCTCTGTTGTGATTGGTCTACTCTGCTCTGATTAGTCAGATGGCCCAGTCTGTTGTGATTGGTCTACTCTGCTCTGATTGGTCAGATGGCCCAGTCTGTTGTGATTGGTCTACTCTGCTCTGATTGGTCAGATGGCCCAGTCTGTTGTGATTGGTCTACTCTGCTCTGATTGGTCAGATGGCCCAGTCTGTTGTGATTGGTCTACTCTGTTGTGATTGGTCTACTCTGCTCTGATTGGTCAGATGGCCCAGTCTGTTGTAATTGGTCTACTCTGCTGTGATTGGTCAGATAGCCCAGTCTGTTGTGATTGGTCTACTCTGCTCTGATTGGTCAGATGGCCCAGTCTGTTGTGATTGGTCTACTCTATTGTGATTGGTCAGATGGCCCAGTCTGTTGTGATTGGTCTACTCTGCTCTGATTGGTCAGTTGGCCCAGTCTGTTGTAACTGGTCTACTCTGCTCTGATTGGTCAGATGGCTCAGTCTGTTGTGATTGGTCTACTCTGCTCTGATTGGTCAGATGGCCCAGACTGTTGTGATTGGTCTACTCTGCTCTGATTGGTCAGTTGGCCCAGTCTGTTGTGATTGGTTTACTCTGCTGTGATTGGTCAGTTGGCCCAGTCTGTTGTGATTGGTCTACTCTGCTCTGAATTATTTTCCATCTTATTTTGCTTGAAAATGATTTTAATTAGATCCTCTGATCTAATAAAAGATACTTGAAAATATGTAAGCACAAATACTTGTAGCAACGCAAACTTGATTGCACATGCTCCATTCCAACACATTTGTGTTGCAATCCCAGCATCACCTTCAGGGGCGCTATCACGGGCATTAGCGTTTGCATACAGTATTACTGAAGCTTTAACCCAATTGGTTTTACCACAGCGACATGAGGGAAGACAACTTAATATCAGACAAAAACGCTAGAAAAGTATATACTTGTCAGATAACATCATCATGTGAAAATTAATTTAATTAATTCATGTTTTACATGTAAACTCAAGTAAAATTATCACGGAGGCCGGTCGAAGCGTATTATAACATCACGGAAAGTCTCAAAACATTACAGAAAGTCATGAACTTGATTAGGTAACATGAGCCTCGAGGTCTGAGAACTTGAAGGTTAAATATCTGACTAAACATCTAAATAAGTGTTGAAATATCTGCATCACAATGAACGATAAATTAATCAATATATACCAGGAGGCTTTCATCTACGAAGAACGCTTCCCCAGACACCTTCTCAAACTTCTTCAGCGGCAATTCAGGCACCCGGTCAGGTATAAACTCAAATACCTGGTTCTTCCTGTGAAACAGTGTGAAGTTATACGCAGATAACCACATAAAATAAAAAATGAACAAGCCCGATTATTGTGTAAACCAAAACAGGAACTAAAACAGGAACTGAGATCATAAAACCTAGTATCGGTGTGATGCGTTTACCACAGATTGTGTAACAGTTCACATGTAGCTTGCGTCACACTTTCAAAACCCACAAAAATGTTTTGTTTTTTTACCATGTAACAGTGAGCTGTATGAAATGCACAAGGTTTCTGTAGCCGTTACACGTGAGACAGCCTTTGTCACCCTTTCCATGACAAGCCACACACCTGAAAGAAGGGATTGAGATATTTGTTTTTATTTTTATATGAGGATATAACACACATTAGAGTATGAATGTGTCTCAGATGACCTTTTCTTTCCCCTTCCGTGGCAGGTTGTGCAGCGTCGGTTGCGACTGTGACCAGTGCCGTGACAGAACATACAGCGAGTCTGAATTTGTTATTCAGAAAACAGTCAGTTTAATAAAGCTTTGGCAGATATGTGATAATGATAATTAAACATCCACGTACCAGTCCTCGTCCACGACAGTGTGTACACCTCACTTTGCCGTTACCATGACAGCGGTGGCAAGGCTGCAAAGACAATGCACTAATAAAATCCAACAGGCAACAAAACACATATAAAAGTCTGACTTATGGTGATAAATTTAGAGTAAAATGCAAATTAGGTACAATAGTTTTTATTTTGAGCTGGTTTTGATGGTACATTAAATTTATATGAATATAGATAGTTTAAAGTGCCCCTATAATGCTATTTTAATGTTTCCTAATTTTGTTTTGGAGGTATTCTACGAAAAGTTTACATGTATCCAAGGTCAAAATAACTTTACTTTTCTAATAATATACATTGCAGCATCACCTCTTTTCTCAGTGTCTGAAACGGTTTGATACAGGATCCCGTCTCTCTAAAACCCTCCTTTCTGAGAGCCTTTATCTGCTCTGATTGGGTCAGATGGCCCAGTCTGTTGTGATTGGTCTACTCTGCTCTGATTGGTCAGATGGCCCAGTCTGTTGTAATTGGTCTACTCTGCTCTGATTGGTCAGATGGCCCAGTCTGTTGTGATTGGTCTACTCTGCTCTGATTGGTCAGATGGCCCAGTCTGTTGTGATTGGTCTACTCTGCTCTGATTGGTCAGATGGCCCAGTCTGTTGTGATTGGTCTACTCTGCTCTGATTGGTCAGATGGCCCAGTCTGTTGTGATTGGTCTACTCTGCTCTGATTGGTCAGATGGCCCAGTCTGTTGTGATTGGTCTACTCTGCTCTGATTGGTCAGATGGCTCAGTCTGTTGTGATTGGTCTACTCTGCTCTGATTGGTCAGATGACCCAGTCTGTTGTGATTGGTCTACTCTGCTCTGATTGGTCAGATGGCTCAGTCTGTTGTGATTGGTCTACTCTGCTCTGATTGGTCAGATGGCTCAGTCTGTTGTGATTGGTCTACTCTGCTCTGATTGGTCAGATGACCCAGTCTGTTGTGATTGGTCTACTCTGCTCTGATTGGTCAGATGGCTCAGTCTGTTGTGATTGGTCTACTCTGCTCTGATTGGTCAGATGGCTCAGTCTGTTGTGATTGGTCTACTCTGCTCTGATTGGTCAGATAACCCAGTCTGTTGTGATTGGTCTACTCTGCTCTGATTGGTCAGATGGCTCAGTCTGTTGTGATTGGTCTACTGTGCTCTGATTGGTCAGATGGCCCAGTCTGTTGTGATTGGTCTACTCTGCTCTGATTGGTCAGATAACCCAGTCTGTTGTGATTGGTTTACTCTGCTCTGATTGGTCAGATGGCCCAGTCTGTTGTCATTGGTTTACTCTGCTCTGATTGCTCAGATGGCCGAGTCTGTTGTGATTGGTCTACTCTGCTCTGATTGGTCAGATGACCCAGTCTGTTGTGATTGGTTTACTCTGCTCTGATTGGTCAGATGGCTCAGTCTGTTGTGATTGGTCTACTCTGCTCTGATTGGTCAGATGGCCGAGTCTGTTGTGATTGGTCTACTCTGCTCTGATTGGTCAGATGGCCGAGTCTGTTGTGATTGGTTTACTCTGCTCTGATTGGTCAGATGGCCGAGTCTGTTGTGATTGGTCTACTCTACTCTGATTGGTCAGATAACCCAGTCTGTTGTGATTGGTCTACTCTGCTCTGATTGGTCAGATAACCCAGTCTGTTGTGATTGGTTTACTCTGCTCTGATTGGTCAGATGGCTCAGTCTGTTGTGATTGGTCTACTGTGCTTTGATTGGTCAGATAACCCAGTCTGTTGTGATTTGTTTACTCTGCTCTGATTGGTCAGATAACCCAGTCTGTTGTGATTGGTCTACTCTGCTCTGATTGGTCAGATGGCTCAGTCTGTTGTGATTGGTCTACTCTGCTCTGATTGGTCAGATGGCTCAGTCTGTTGTGATTGGTTTACTCTGCTCTGATTGGTCAGATGGCTCAGTCTGTTGTGATTGGTTTACTCTGCTCTGATTGGTCAGATGGCTCAGTCTGTTGTGATTGGTTTACTCTGCTCTGATTGGTCAGATGGCCCAGTCTGTTTTAAAAAAAAAACGCTGGTGGGGAAAGAGTTAATAAACAGCTATATTACACACCGCATGAAAGGCAATATCTATTAAAAAATAAAAATAAACATAATAGGCACACCTTAAAGACATACCTTTATGAATGAAGAGTGTGGGACCCTGACTTTTTGAACGGCTTCAGTGAATTTGGGTGGGTAAGACACCTGGATGAGCCACGGTGGAGGACTCACTCCGTTCGGAGGCCCATCCACACACTGACCTGAGAAAAAAATATTAATTTGATACAGGCATTTTTATCATTTGTTTAATTGTATTGGTTTCATCAGGCACCTGTGTGCGGCTCCGATCCCCAAGCACTTGATCTGGACTCGGTAAATGTTTCCAAGCGGTACTGAAAAGACAAGGGACAAATGGCACAATCATATAACTATTATGATATGTAATAATAATATAGGAATCATTCCACATCTAGACTGGATAATATCGTGAAGAGATTTACACGGTAAACTGTAAAGGGCTTCAGCTCTTTGAATATCAGATTTTTGGCAGGTTTGCTGCTGTATGTCCATTTTTTACCCACAAACTGAAGTAGAGCGTCTCTCGCTACATCCTCCGAGACAGTGGGAACCCTGTCAGTGTGCAAATACATACACAGATCTATATGCAAAATAATAACGTTATGGCAAATTTTGAATATATACTGTATGTTTTTGTATTCATAACATCCTACAAAAAATGACATTGCACACAGAAAATACATATTGTACCTACATGACATTTGGGACAGAGGCATTCTTGTCATTTTCAGGCTTAGGGGCAAAGTCTGGTGGAGGAGGACAGATTTGATCTGTACAGTCTACGATCAAGCACACAAACAAAAATAAAAGTTGAATATAACTTAAGCATTCAAGATATAACTATGATATTAGGTCATATATACGACATGCAGGATTTGTTGTTATATGTTAAAGATCGACCAATATTATGTTTTTATGACCAATACCAATAAATTTTTTTAAAGCATCCAATATGTAAAAGCAATCTTTATTCATTTTAGCATTTTCAAGCAACAATGATCATAATACAACAATAAAAAACATATTCATTATATTTTAATATTATTTGTATAGTTATTAGATATTAATCATGTATAATAGTGTCTTAATAATATTAATAATAATAAAATATTATTGTTAATGTGCTTTAATGTATATAATAGTTTATTATAACAATAATGTCATAATAATAATAAAATGTATAGTATGGTGCCTTAGTGTATTTAATAGTGTATTATTATAACAAAAGAGTCTTGATAGTAATATTTTTATAAAAATAATAATTATTATTATTATGCCATAGGGTATATAATGGTGCATTATTATAATAGTATCTTAATAATCTGAGTAATAGAAAATATGGTTGTTATTGTTGTTATTATAATGTGTAAATGCATATTATAATGTATTATTATAATAAGTGTCTTATTTATATTATTATACTTCCATATTGTATTACTGGATAATAATAACAATAATAAAATGTTGTTATTATACTACATTTTAATAATGTCTTAATAATAATAAATTATTATCATTGTAGTGTCTTAGTGCATATATTAGTGTATAATAATAATAGTATTAGCAATAATAAAAATGTTATTATATTATAGTGTATATAATTTATTATTAAAAAATAGTATCTTAATAATAATAATATATGTTGTTATTATTGTTAATGGCATTATATTATGGTGATCAAATTTATTTTCAATAAATTCTGTTTAGGGCTGTTATTGGACTGTTGTTATCAGTCTATCTGTAATGCACGACACGAGTGATACACATGAAGCTCGTTCACCTCCGCCGCTGTGCTCTTCGTATCCCGAGACACTGTCCAGCCAGCCTGGGGGCGGAGCAGACGGACCCTCCTCGGGAAGACTGGGGTCAAAGGTGTCTGCAGAAGACAGAGAGACTGCCTGATATTTCTCATTTATCAAAGAGCAACATGTTCCTGTATCAACATCCCTCATTGGCCCTGGAACATCATTCCTATCAAACAGCCACCGCCTTAAATCAGTGACACAATTTTCCATGAAGTCCCTTGAACATCTTTCTTGTTGATCCTGGAGCATCATCAATGTGGTTTAATAATTTGTTATAATCTGTTGCGTTGCTAGGCAACAGAACATAAACACATTTCTTAGCAATCAGTAGTTGGCAGCTGTTCATTAAGTCATTAGGGTTCTTTCCCTCAGCAGTGCATCAGTGAATTGAGTTATATATACTTCACATAAATAACTTGTTACGTTGGTGAACAATGCCGCTAACAAGTGGATATAAATATCAGCTGGAGTGGGTTTCCTTCAACAGAGATTGTGCTTCAGATTTAGCATGAAGAATGGCCACGAAATGGGCCTATGCCAGAGAAACAATGCCCTCAAAATATAGCAGTGAATGATGGGTGGAGCAGGCTGTCTGTGATACAATTTAAATGCTAATTTAGCAAAGCACATTCATCAAAATGTGATTAATGATTTTGATATGGCAGGGATTTTCTTAGGTGCTTAAAGCTACACTGTGTAACTTTTTTAGTTTATTCTTAGCTAAAAACACTTAGTTCTTTCAAAAATATATGTGCTAATTAATGTATATTAATATTTACTTTGTTCAAGTAATAAAGTATTCTCGTGAGTGTATAATATGCCATTGAAAATACATACGGGTAAGGGGTTCTAATGTCGGTCGCCATGTTGCCCCTCCATCTTGAAAGTACATTAGCCAAAGAGGGACATACCCGTTAATTCAAGCTTCGCCTTTCGCGTTTTAACACTCGATGGCACCGTGTCGAATGTCATATAAATAACCTATATGTTACCTGACAAATTAAATTACTGCAAATTATAATAGTTTTCTAAAATAACCTCATCACTTGAAGGAACACTCATGGACGAGGTCGAACTGGAAGCCATGTTAATCTTGGACTACATTGGCCACCGTAGGAGTTAAAACGAAATCGGAATTGAGAGGAATAGAAACTAATATTCACTGGATGGTCATATACCTTTTCACCGCTAGATGGGGGTAAAAATCACACAGTGTAGCTTTAAGGGATTCATACAAAATTTAAAAGAAAAAAAAAAGCTTACAAAATTTCTTTATAGGGCTGTCAAAGTTAAAATAGTCACTCGAGATACAAATTAAATTGTGTGTGTGTGTATATATATATATATATATATACAGTCACCTAAAGGATTATTAGGAACACCATACTTATACTGTGTTTGACCCCCTTTCGCCTTCAGAACTGCCTTAATTCTACGTGGCATTGATTCAACAAGGTGCTGAAAGCATTCTTTAGAAATGGCCCATATTGATAGGATAGCATCTTGCAGTTGATGGAGATTTGTGGGATGCACATCCAGGGCACGAAGCTGCCGTTCCACCACATCCCAAAGATGCTCTATTGGGTAGAGATCTGGTGACTGTGGGGGCCATTTTAGTACAGTGAACTCATTGTCATGTTCAAGAAACCAATTTGAAATGATTTGAGCTTTGTGACATGGTGCATTATCCTGCTGGAAGTAGCCATCAGAGGATGGGTACATGGTGGTCATAAAGGGATGGACATGGTCAGAAACAATGCTCAGGTAGGCCGTGGCATTTAAACGATGCCCAATTGGCACTAAGGGGCCTAAAGTGTGCCAAGAAAACATCCCCCACACCATTACACCACCACCACCAGCCTGCACAGTGGTAACAAGGCATGATGGATCCATGTTCTCATTCTGTTTACGCCAAATTCTGACTCTACCATCTGAATGTCTCAACAGAAATCGAGACTCATCAGACCAGGCAACATTTTTCCAGTCTTCAACTGTCCAATTTTGGTGAGCTCTTGCAAATTGTAGCCTCTTTTTCCTATTTGTAGTGAAGATGAGTGGTACCCGGTGGGGTCTTCCGCTGTTGTAGCCCATCCGCCTCAAGGTTGTGCGTGTTGTGGCTTCACAAATGCTTTGCTGCATACCTCGGTTGTAACGAGTGGTTATTTCAGTCAAAGTTGCTCTTCTATCAGCTTGAATCAGTCGGCCCATTCTCCTCTGACCTCAAGCATCAACAAGGCATTTTCGCCCACAGGACTGCCGCATACTGGATGTTTTTCCCTTTTCACACCATTCTTTGTAAACCCTAGAAATGGTTGTGCATGAAAATCCCAGTAACTGAGCAGATTGTGAAATACTCAGACCGGCCCGTCTGGCACCAACAACCATGCCACGCTCAAAATTGCTTAAATCACCTTTCTTTCCCATTCTGACATTCAGTTTGGAGTTCAGGAGATTGTCTTGACCAGGACCACACCCCTAAATGCATTGAAGCAACTGCCATGTGATTGGTGGATTAGATAATTGCATTAATTAGAAATTGAACAGGTGTTCCTAATAATCCTTTAGGTGAGTGTATATATGTGTGTGTGTATCTTTAACGGTCTGCCTGGAAACAAAGCTGTCGTGATGCTAAACCCCCTCATGGAAAAAAGCTGTTTACAACTGTGCCAATGAGCGCTTATCAGATTTAACTTCACAGGATTTTCAAAATCATGTGAAGTTCACAGCTCCATTGACACACTTGATGTGTACTCGCTCTTGATATGTACTCGCACTTGACGTGTACTTGCGAAAGGGAAAATAACCTTAAACCCTGAGAAGCCTTTCAAACAGTCTGGTTCCTAATAATATCAATGCAAAAAAAAAAATATGCACTGATAACAGAAATAATACACGTAAACAATTGCTTCAGTCTGAATTCAGTTGTTCGTGTTGCCTTTAAGAAGCTGGAATGTGATTAATTGTGCTCATACTGACAGACATGTGCGGCTGCTTTGTGAAGCAGAGATCTATTTAGCAAACAGGATATGTTTATTTGTAAGATAACGTTTGCGGTTAACAGTTTCAGACTGTTAATTTGTCCTCAGACTGCATTTTTGCGCTTGCGATACATGAAAGCACTTTAGTGTTTGGTGTCATAAGTGAAGTTCAAAAAAGGTTCATGTCTAGATAACAAAGGCAGTATTATGCACAACTTATCAGTAAACAAGAGTGTTTTAGTATTATCAATGCATTCGGCAGTACACTTTAACTATATTTCAAAGACAACATAATTAAGTAATTATGAAATTACATATAAAGATGTACTTAAAGGGGTCATGACATGAGAAGTGGAATATGTAAAACATTCTGCAAGTTTCATAGTTTAAAACGTCCAGAATATAAACAAAGCTTTTGTTTAACAAAGCTTCAAAAATGGCTTGTTTTGATGATGAGGGATCTGTGATGTCATGGGCAAATACATTTGCATACGACTGCCTCCAGAGCAAGACATCGACGAATAGTTATACATCATCGCACCATAAGCCCCGCCCACTGGCGTTCAGTTGCTTAACGGCTAACATTTGCCTACACTGGATTTGAACGTCGTGTCAAAGCAAATAAAACCATTATAATCACTGATTCTGTCTACACTGGATACAGTATACAGATGCGTCTTCTGTTTCTGACATCCTTCACACACAGCAGGACAAATGGAAGAGTGAAGAACGTTCGCTTTGGCGCTTCCAGTTTAAACAGCTGGTTTGTGTCTCTGTACAGAATGCAGAAGGAGTGGATGGTTTATTTTAATGGCGTCCCGGCTCATGTCTGAGGATTATGTTTGTTCGGAGCATTTTATTTTGTAAACGAGGCACTGTGTGACGAAGATTTCGCAAAGAGACTTTTGTTGATTAATGAAGCAGCCGACTGTATTGGATCTGACAGCAGCTGAATCACAAACATAAGTAAATTATTTTGCTCTGTCTGTAAATGAGTTTTATATGTTTTTAAAACACGTATTCACGTGCAATAGTGAGTTGATACTGTTTCCTATGTGGCCGTTTACGTTTTACGTCCTATCGGCGTATACGACAGCGTGTTCCAGGTCCTGCCAATATCCAGCAACTTCGCACAGCCTTTGAAGAGGAGTGGACCAACATTCCACAATCAACAACCTTTTTTTTTTTTTTTTTTAGAGTGGCCTTTTATTGTGGCCAGCCTAAGGCACACCTGTGCAATAATCATGCTGTCTAACGCCTGTTTCACACATACTCCGTTTGCAGTGCGTATGCGGTGCGTATTTTTTTCCGTACCCATGTTAACAGGTTAGAGCTTTCACACTGCACGCGGATGCGGTCCGGAGATCCGTTCCAGTTGCGGTGCGTATACAGCAGTGCAGAGATCGTTTCCGCACCGAGTCTATTTCTGCTGTCCTGCAAACGCTGAATTAAAGTGACAGCGCACGGTTCGTGGTCAAAATGAACAAAGACTGACCTGAATATGTAGTAATTTCACCATAAATGCATTTAATTCAATAAAATGTAGTAATCTCACCATAAATGTATTTAATTAAATAACATGTAACCATAAATGCATTTAATTAGCCTAAATACTACTTTGTTCACAGTCATCTTTTTACTTTAAGACCGGGGTAAAGCAAAGAAAGCTACAATTTACTTCAACAAGGCCACATAATGAACGACACTCGTCTCATTCGTTGAGATGGAAAAACAAGTTAATTGTGACATGCAAGATTTATTGTATACAGATTAAAATTATGCAAAAGAAAAGGTATGAGTCTGCTGTTTTTGTCAATTTTAGGTTTTAATTTAAAATGTTTGCGATTTTAATATAAGTACATGGTTAAATATGTTACCACTTGCTTGAGCAACTTAATATATAATCTAGGCCTATATAAAAGTAATGCATTGAATAATACGTTGTTTAAATTGTGTTTTAAACGTGAATAGGCCTACAAAGAGAATTGCACTGGAGGCAAAAACTTTTGCTGCTGATAACTTGATTTGATTGATGATTTTTTTTAATACAAATAGTGAGTAAATGTGTTTGTGGTACAGCTGCGGATCAGTTGCGCACTGCAAACGCACGCAGCATATGTGAAAGCACTATAGCGCGTGCTGCTCCTGTACCGCATACGCACCGCAACATGCACCGCATACGCACTGCACACGGAGTATGTGTGAAACGGGCGTAATCAGCTTCTTGATATGCCACACCTGTGAGGTGGATGGATTATCTCGGCAAAGGAGAAGTGCTCACTAACACAGATTTAGACAGAATTGTGACCAATATTTGAGAGGAATAGGCCTTTTCTGTACATAGAAAAAGTCTTAGATCTTTGAGTTCAGCTCATGACAAATGAGGGCAAAAAAAAGGGTTACATTTATAATTTTGTTCAGTGTGTGTATATATATATATATATATATATATTTTTTTTTTTTTTACACATTATATATATAAGTGTCCGAAAACATTAAATTCAATAACTCTTTTCAGAAGTATGCTAAAGTGTTCTTTGTTTTCACAACAGTGTCAATCCTCAAACTCTCAAATATCTCTGTTAACAGATGTTACTTAACATTCCTTCCACTTGACTGCCCAGAGGGAATTCTTTTCAGAGGGAATTTTCACAGAATTCTTCTCCAAAAAAAAAAAAAAAAAACACAAAAAAAAAAAAACAGTTATAAACACTTTGGCCTGGTCTCACAGACATGACTTAGATTAAGCCAGGATTAGGCTAGGTCTCGATTAAATTGGGACATTTAGTAGCTTTTATAAAAGTGTCTAATAAAAACATTTCTGGTTTGCATCTTGAAATAAAACAATGACACTGACATATTTTAAGATCTGTCAGTTCAAGTTGCTTTCAGTTAAAACAGCTCAAACACTATGCACTATAGTCTGAGACTAGATGTAAGCCTTGTCTGTTAAACTGGAGGTTTATGTTTCATCTCATTATAGAAAGGGAAATTTCTCATTAAATCACATTTAAACGTAATTTAAAACCGGAGGAATAGAATGTTGCTTTATAATAACATAAAAAATGATAAAACGATTCATGCATTATTTGGTCACACAAGTCAAATAAACAAATTGGTGTCAGTCAACATGTGAACTCCTCAATGCAAAAGGTCAGATTCCCTTCCTTCCGCTGAAGTAAGGCTATGAGATGCTCTTTGGATCATTCTCAAAAATTAGATAACATGGATATCAGGACCTGCACAACTAAAGCAAAATAAAAACTGAAATTCGTTAAACTTTTCACTCAAACTGTTATCTGGTGATATAAACAATGTGTATTGAATTATATAGCAGTTAGAGCACTGATGTTTATACACTAAAAGACACTGAGAAGTTTCACTTTTTCAATCGATTAATGTTTGAGACAGTTCAGATCAGTGTATGTGAGCAATATGCTTTTCATTAAAATCTATAAACATGATCCTCAACGTGAATGCTAGTGAGTTATTAATGTTTAAAGCGTTGGACAAGGTTTTGTTCAAACTTTAAACTGAATGAATGTTTTTGTTGAAAAACTGTTTAATTTGACGTTGTGCAAAACACAATCTTTCCAGATTATTGTGCGAAATGTGGTGTCATCATAAATAGAAAAGATTACATGCACACTTCATCGCATTTAATCACTTTAACTGTCGTATGCATATAGCCTATTGAATAAATAGGCCTATTTTCCTTAATATATATTTAAAAAATTACCGTTTTGCCAACATGTTACAGATGTGAATTGTTTGTTTTCTTGTAAGCTATTCAGACAGTGAAGATATTACAGTAAATATTCAAGTAAAACTTCAGGAAAAACAAAACAGCAAAAATATAGTTAGCTGTAATATGCAAGTCATCTAACGTTACCCACCTATATCTTCGTCTTTTTCGTCCATCACGCACAGAATGCTGATAAAGCCTGTTTCACAATGATCCTTGTCACAGCAGTGCTCTACTTTTATTTACTGATCGCCTTTGTTCAGTTTTGATCTCTGGATCGTCGACAGGAATGAAGACACGCCCACAATAAGTTCTGGCACAGTTTTAATAAAGAAGCGCGCTACAACTCACATCATTTACACAATCCTTAAAGGCACAGTTTACTCAAAAATAAAGTTCTGTCATTTATTCACGCTCTCATGTCGTTGCAAACCCGTATGACTTCCGTGAGACACAACATGTGATGTTCGGCAGAATGAACGCGTCAGTCGACATTCTCTTGAATAGAAAAAAAAAGTATGCAATGAAAGTGGATGGAGACTCACGCTGCCATTCTGACTAACATCTCATTTTGTTTTGTTTTTTTGCGTGAGAAATAAGTCGTACGGATCTGGAACTAAACTTTGGAGACAGTTTAAAATGGCTTTCTGGGTAAATTATCCCATTAGGACTGTAGGATCAACTTGTAGTGTATACAAACGATGCGTTTGCCTATACATTATTGCATAACATAAAATTAAGCCACAAAGAAAAATATGAATAACTACATGTGAAAACATTGTAACAGTACACTTTCATAATGGTCTATGTGCAACAACTATCAAAATAGCTAAAGTAAAGATATGACAGGCAACAATATAGTGTAGCATAATAGTTTACACCAAAATAAAAGGTAAAAATAAAATAAAGCCTATTTTTAAGGTACATTAAGATTTTAAAGAAGAAGAATGTGTCAGATAATTTTCATTATTGTGCATCGAAAATGATTAATAAATGGAAGCTTCTTTCTGCCAAGGAATACAAAAAATAAAAAGGTGAAACTGAATTTTTTTTATCTCACAATATTACTTTTGTTCTCTCAGTTGCGAGTTTACAGGTATAGCTCACAATTCTGTCTTTTTTTTACTCAGAATCGCAAGTATATCTTACAAAAATCTTTTTCAGAATACAATTCGGACTTTAAAACAAGCTCAGTTCTCACGATTCTGAGGGGACAAGTAAGAATTGTGAGAAATAAACTCAGAATTGAGGAAAAAAGTCCCACATTTAAGATATAAATTCATGGATATAAAAGCATGGTCTTTTTTAATTTGCCTACCGTTTCTTTGTAATGATTTCAAATATGTATATGAAAATGATATTACAGCTCTTTTAACATATGACAGTGGCCTATACGGCATGTTTAAAGGATGGAGCAACAGCAACATTTAGCAGGATAGTCCTTGGTGTAAACTTTGTGTTCAGTACCATATACAAAATAAATGTATGTTTTTTCATTCCAGGTGTAATGCACTCGTGTGATGGGAATAAGCTCAATGGTCTGCCTCTGGAAAATAAAAATGAAACACACACACAAGGTTAGAGCTTATGCTTCGTCTCTAACTTTCTGTATAAATGCATTTTAATGTCCGGTTCTCTAGGTCTTCTAAGTTTCTTTTCAATATTCGTGTTTATTTTGTTTAAATATGGGAATATTCAGACTGCTTGACAATATGACAAACGACTTGCTATTAACCGCAAGCTCTAATCTGGTTTCTTTAAGGATTCTAGGAGTGAACCAACAGGAAGAGGTTTCATTAATTCCCAGAAGAGCGGAGGCTGAGATGTGGCCTTAAAGAGACAGAAGCATTATGATTTGTTTTATCAGATGAATTATACTCAACCTGTTGGAGAATATGACATGTGGTGGAGAACTGAGCCTGGTGTTCCCTCACGGCACTTTCAGACGCTACGTTCACAGAGCTGTCCGGGAAACCCACAACTGGATAGACCTGCAGCGATGGGTCGAAACTTCAGTGGCAAAGCCAAACAGGGTTACGTTGCAAAGTAATTGCTGTATATGATTCAATTTGAAGATGTTTTAAATGTTTCAAAGGGGTCAAATCATGTATTTTTTATTGCATTTTTCCCACCTTTAATGTTTTCGGTACATATTTTCTTTTCTTTTACAGGTTGTTTTTTGCATATGTATTCAACAACATAGTCTATATAACATACACCTTAATTTTCTTTTCAAAAATACTTTTAAAATATTATTATAGTCTGACTGCTTCGAATATTTCCTGAACCCTAGAGCTACGCATTCCATACAAGCAATCTCTTAACATTGCGCCTTGTATTACCTACTGTACAACTCTTTTTATTGAAAGTTGAAAGTGATGTGTTTTGTTATTTTTGTACTTTGTCTGTTCTCATGCAGACAAGTGACTATGTTATGGAGAACAGAGCGAATTTTTGTATTCAGTAGATTAGAAAAATGTTTAAGCAAATTAATTAAACAGAAAAGTAATGTGCATTGTTTTGTTTTTTTAAGTAGGCTAACTCAAATATTAATGTGTACATTTATTAAGAAATTTGTTACTTTACTCGATATATCAAAAAAGTAATCAGATTACATAATGCACATTATTTGTAATGCGTTACCACCATCACTGCTTATTTCAGTTTTTCGTGACCATTTTCAACCTCTTTCTAACCTTAAAATTAAACGGGCCATTTTTGCTGCTGCACCTTTAAGACATGACCTTTTGGCATGTGAAATGAGAAACATACTATCCTTACTAATAGTGATATTAAAACACATTTTTAGGCTTAATATTAAGAAATGTGCATTGTGCAATAAAGAAGTGCTCCAAATAAAGTCTAATTATAATATTTATTTCAGTAAGTCTCAAGCAATATGTCAGTAAATATGTTAAAGGGATAGTTCACTTTAAAATAAATTTTTGATATGTTTTAGCTTACCTCAAGGTGTCCAAAATGTTTCTTTGTCAAGATGTAGGTGTCGCAGTAGTTTCAATTTTGATGTTTTTAGGTCAAACCGTTCTTGTCTGTCAGTCATATAATGCAGGTCTAAGAGGTAAAAACGATATAAATACTGTTCGTTTTCTCACACAAACCGCTCGTTTCGTGTCTTAGGCCATCAATGTGTACTTACATTTACGAGTCATTAAATCATGTTTAATTTGGACTTCTCTGTGCATGCTCTTTGAGGTGGTGACCATAGACCTGCATTATATGACTGACAGACAAGAACGGTTTGACCTAAAAATCTATCAAAATTGAAACTACTGCGGAAACAAAGACACCTACAACTTGGATGCCCTTGAGGTAAGCTAAAACATATCAAAAATTGTCATTTTATAATTTTTTTCTTAAATATTGCCATTTAAGGTTGAATTTTTTATTTCTTTTCAGTTTTTGTTTTTATTTATGTCCAGTTAATAATTTTAATGCTTCAAACTTGTTTCAGTATCTTGTCAAGGCAACATTTCTAATTTTTGTTTAGTTGAAGTTTTTCATCTAATATTTGTATTTAATTTAATTTCAGCTTTATTTCAATTAACATGCATGTTTTGAATAGTTTACACAGCAGGCAACGTTTCTGAACACCTAACAGACACCATTAACCTGTAAATGTGGACGCTCATATCTCAAATACACATATGAATATATATCAGATCTCAAATATCCTAAAATAATAACCTAAAATTCAGAAAAAAAAAACCTTCAAATAACAAAGGCATCATGAGCACCATGATGTTTTTTGCTCACCATTGCAGCCATATCAGTTAAAAGCTTCTCTCCAGCAATTTGGTCGAGATATTCAACGGGGAACCCAGAACGCTTGTCAATCACAGCAACATGAATGTTGTTCTTCCTGAAAAGATAAACGCGTGGAAGAAAAAAGCATGAATTAAAAAGTACATAAGCTTGTTTGTACTGATTAGTGGTGCTAACCGCATGTCTTCTCACCATGTAATTTTGAGTTTGATGAAGCAGAGGAGCTTTCCTTGCCCTTTGCATGTTTTGCAGGTAATCGAACCGACTCCTCCACAGGAATGACACCTGGAATACAGATCATTTAACACACCGGTAACATTTCAGTCATTAAGGTTTTTTTTTCATTGTGATGTTTCTGGCAATAAGGAGCAATGTCTTGTGTGATGGGCATTGATGGGCAGTAACGCGTAACTGTAATCCAATTACTTTTTTCAAGTAACGAGTAAAGTAAGGGATTACAATTGCAAAAATAGTAATTAGATTACTGTTACTTCCCCGTAAGCAGGCTGCGTTACTGCGTTAGTTAACCGTCATTTTGTTTCGTGAGACTGTCTCGTGCTATGAGTCGTGCGTGAGTGACAATGACGTATGAGCGCCGCGACGTCAGTGGTAAACACCGAAATGTGTAGTGTTGAACAAGAGACAACATGGAGCGCGGGAGAGAGACAAGCATTTGATTGGTCTCACACGCCACACCCCCGATTTCTCACGCTGAAGTGTCAACCCGGTCGGTCAAATGCCTGAAAGATGAGTTTATCTATAGATCTACCTGTTGAGCCACTCGTGATCGACTAGTTATACCGAAAATTAGTTAAAATCTCCCGGAATCTAGAGCGAGCGTGCATGCGAGACAGAGACCGCGTAGCGCGCGCACCCGCAGAGAGGGAGAGCGAGCGAGAGACCTTACGTTTGCAGAGAGCATCCTGATCTAGAAACAGGACCCCCGTTGGAGAATGTCAAAATTCTACCTCAAATCTGAGCAAGCACCCGCAAGCCGGCACAGGAATGTGAAACTTACTGAAAAAAACCCTGAACCCCCAACTGACATGACATGGCTGTTTTGGTAAACTAATTTTTACTCCTCTCTGCACTTTACTGTTAAAAGACGTAAGTGTTAATAATTTGGAATACAGTCAGGAGGAGAGACTTTCATTTGAATTATTTTATTGCTGTATTTTATTTATATCTATTCGAATGAAGGATTTTACAAAAAAATATATTTATTTTATATGCTGGAATATGCAGAAATATAAGTTAACAGAAGAAGGACTTTCTTTATTTCATTAAAATATGGTGGAATGTGCAGAAAATAGGTTTAAATGTTCATCAAAAGTCTGAGACTGTTGCATTTAATTACATTTTTGCTTGATGCAATGTGCATAAAGTTAAAATATTGAAACTAATAAAACAAGTTTAAAAAAGAGAGTGTTTCATTTGATTAAATTTTAGATGATGGAATATGCAGAAAGAATAGAATTAGGCTGAAAGGTCTATTGCTTTATAGCGTATTCAGGTCGTGCATCATGTTTTTGAAAAGTAACTTAGTAAAGTAACTAGTAAAGTAACTAATTACTTTTTAAAATAAGTAATCAGTAAAGTAACTGGATTACTTTCTTGGAGAAGTAATCAGTAATCAGTAACTAATTACTATTACGCAATTTTGAGAAATAAACTTGATATTCTAACTTTTTTCTCTGAATTGCATGTTTATATCTCGCAATTCTCACTTTATAACACACAATTGTGAGATATGAAGTCAGAATTGCATGATATAAAGTCGCAATTGCAATTCTGAGGAAAAAAGTCAGTCTTTTTTTCCTTAGAATTGGACTTTATAAGTCGCAATTGCGAGTTTATATCTCACAATTTGGAAAAAAGATGTCAGAATTGCGAGATATAAATTTGTAATCGCGTGTTATAAAGTCAGAATAGCAAGATATAAAGTCGCAAATGCGTATTATATGAGAAAAAAAGTCTATAACACTCAATTGCGTGTTTATATTTTGCAATTCTGACTTTATAACACTTTATAATAGCATTTTAAAATATAAAGAAAATGTTTCCATTATAAACTACCTTTTGTGTAATGGAAAGATTCCATGGATGTTAAAGGTTCTTCATGGAACCATAAATGCCAATAAAAACCCTTTATTTTTAACAGTGTAATGTTGCATTTTTGTTGAAATTTGAATTCAAAACCAGAGGTTGACTCCATACTTAATCATGCCAGAGCCCCGACACATCGTACAGTGTCGCCGTTCACTGGACTGAGTCCAACCCGTGCCACTACAGGCTCCACATCGAGTCTGTAACAATAGAAATATTATAATGAAATAATAGAGAGTGTGAAATATTAAAAACGTCATGTCGTCATACTTACCCTGCCAGAATTTACGCATCTTCCGCATGCAGATCTTCCAAGATTCAGGCATGAATGGCAACCCTAAATTTTGGATTTAACAACAAAAATGAATTGTTGATTGATGAGTTGTTGATTGGATGTGTTGAATGGAAGACTGAAATGTGTTACTTTGACAGTAGACGTGTGAGGAACGCGGACGGCTTTCTCGCAGTCTTTAAAGAGGGACGGGATGGGCACAGGAATACTCCACGGACCGGGGGCCACTCCGAATCCATCCACCACCTGACCTGATCAGTCAATGAAGTCACATTCAATATAATATATATACATAGACAAACTAGTGCTGTTAAGGTCCCAATATACTTCAAGTGAAATCAAAGAATTAACTGGTGTTTAGGCCGTTTATTTCTGGAGTTCAAAACTGCTTGCCAAACTTTCCGAAAAAGTGTGTGTGTGTATGTGAATATTAGTAGTTGAGAATGAAAATGTGACTCTTCTCACCATTGTATGGTTCACTGTCCCACTCTGTGGTTCTAGACTCTGTAAAAGTCTCCAATCGGTACTATAAGGACAAAAAGACATTCAGGATGTGATGTGCATATATATATATAGCTTGACGTGACGCTTGTGACTGTTGATGCTGACCCGATATGTGTTGAGGGACTGCAGGTCAGTGAACACCATCTCTCTGGCTGGTTTCGAGCCGTAACAGCATTTGCTGGAGACGTATTTTGTGAAGGCCTCATGTGCAAGTTCTTCACTGATCGCAGGAATGCTGAGGACATGACATGAGAACTTTAGCATGTGAACTTTTGACCATTCATTTATCACGCATTTGACTTCAGGAATTTCAAGCCAGGTTTTACAACTTGAGGGTGAGTAAGGCCGTGTGTCCACCAAAGCATTTTTAGCCGGCTGAAAACGCTAGACGCTCTGCTGAAGACGCCTAGCTGTGAGCGCTTGAGAGCGTTTTGGCAGCGCAGCGTTTTTTCCGTTGAGACGTTTCGTTGCTATGATACAGAATATCCGCAGCACAGTTTACTTGTAACTGATTTCGCAGATCATTTGTTTCATACTAAAAATGTATTTTTTATCCATTTTGTTCGGTTAGCTCTGCTGGTGGATGTCGTTGTACAGAAAGAATGTTGTGACAGTTGGTCGGTGTGGTGTTAGTCCCGCCCCTCCTCCACTGTGATTGGACGGCTGGGTAAAAAGTGACAGTGATGAGCGCTGCGTTTTACCCAAAGTTGAACATTCTTCAACTCTCGGCGACCTGTAAAAACGCCGAGCTCTCAGCGCTTCAGCGTGAAAAAAACGTTCAGCGCCTCGTTACGCTCACGGCGTTCTAAAATCGCGGCGCTCCCATTGAAAACATACGCCAGGCGCGTGGAAAAACGCTTTGCTGGACACACGGCCTAAATGATGACAGAATTTTCTGAATTATCCCTTTTTACGGAGCCCTGCACATGACGTACAGAAGAAAGAAAAAGTTAATCGTGCGTGCGCATGACAATAATACATTCCGTTGTTTTGCTAAACCATGCACACAATTTACTAATTTGTCCCCTCCTTTTAAGTAAATTGTGTGCACAATATAATAATTTGTTCCCTTGATTTACTAAATCGTGCATACAATTGACTAATTTGTTCCCTCATTTTAAAGTCCCCCTGTGGTAAAAATCAAGTTTTTAATGTTGTTTATATGACTATGTAATGTTTTTAATATGCTTTAAGACAAACCATGTGTTAAGTCATAAGTCAACACCATTGCTGAGTATTTTCTCCTTAAAGCAGCACTAAGTAGGAATTCAGTTTTTGTCAAACAGCGACCCCTAGAGTCGCTGTGGAGTACTTGTACTGTCGTGAATAGCACTCACGCAGAGATGGCTCGCACTCACGGCCGGATCCCCTCCCCCTGTACACCGGTACCTGTTCAGTAGGATGGACGCTGTAACGAGTGGAAATAAGGTGTGGCCCCTTTAAGAGCTGCGCGCGCCCTGTTTAACTGCCAGTCTGTATTGTATGTGCGCCTCGAACACCACATGTATACGGCGCCGGGTTATTTCTGTTTGATGCTCGTTTTATCAGAATTTTATCAGATCTGTTTTTTGCCGTAAAGCAATTCGTTACCTCGCGAGACCTGATATCACACGATACTTCCTAACACCCGCCGGCCCAAAGTTGCAAGGGTGGTTTTGCGGCTCACAGGCACCAGGGGGGTGCGAGACGACCACCATTCAACACGAAATCAGTAATATAAACTTTACAATGACTCCAAAGCTGTTCGGTTAAGGTAAAAAAGTTACTTAGTTCACCTTTAAAACTGCAGTGAACCAAAGACAGTCTCAAAAACACGGTTTGAAATCACTGGTGTTTCTGACGTCACAAACTACCTTGTAACCAATCAGGTCAGCGAGTGGATCTCTGAGCTGGGCTGCGTTCCAGTCCAAAATTGTCATGCCCTTCACTCGCTAACTTCCCTCCGTCTCGTTCACTCGGATGTACGTCATTGCTTACGTTGCATGAGTGCCCACTACTGGAGGAACCTTTGCAATGGGCTGAATTGTAACATGCTAATCCCTGATCACTTAGAATCCACTATGGGGTTGATTTATTTAAATTATTTAAATTGTTATGGGGTAAATTAAACGCAATATGCGTTGACGTCACAATCATGTTGCATTGTGGTATATGGAGCTGTCTGAAGTGTACATATGAAGTAGACTCGCTCCCTTGGTCAAAACTGAAGGAGCGAAGGTCCGTCCATATAAACTTCCATCGTCCACTTCACGAAGTGGAACCCACTTCAAAATGGCGGCAGGGATTCGCCCGAGGGGAAGTTCGCAAGTGTGTGTCTAAAGGAACGCAGCCCAGGTGTGAGTGAATATACCGGTACTCATTTGCATATTCATAGAACCGTGAACTAAATGAGGCAAGGGTGTAAAGTTACATTCAAACTATTTTAAGGCATGGAAAAAAAGTTTAAATATGTCATTTTGGTGATCAAAGATAAGTTTTAAGAGACCCAATTATTGAGGGGATTGAATTATCAGGGGGAAGTCACACGATTTACTTTTTTCCCCCTGCATGACATCATGTGCGGGGCTCCGTTTAACTGAAATAAAATAAAATGTAAAAAATTAACTTTTTTTTATTTAGGTAGTTTCCAAGGCAACATTTCTCATTTTCGTTAAAGTAATAAAACAAATCTAAACTTAAAACTAAATACACATGTAAAATAAATAAAAAAGACAAAAACACACAACCAAATTATGAAAACTTTAACTAAAATGAATCTTTATAAAAAATGCATTCAATAATTTATTACTTTTCATTATCCTTACATATTAATTTATACATTTATCATAAATTATTTATGTATACAGTTTATTTCCTATTCCAATATGGTCAATAGAGGGGCTGATCGATCATAAAATGTCTTGCTGACCCTAGTTCTTCTTTCTGTTACTTGGTTATGCTGCATTTACATATGTTGCACAACTAATTATGAGTCTAAGCTGCAGGATACATGACCGACCATTGGTGCAGTGTTCTGACAATGACAAAGGAACAAGGTGGAGTTAAATAAATAAACAAATCAAATTCATGCCATGACAAGAAACCAGTCAGGCAAGGCAGGAGCATTCATCAACATGTCCAAAATACAACTAAAATCAAACTCCTAAAGCTTGGAAATCGTAATTGCAAAGTGATGTGCATTAAAGTTATTTTTAATTAAACAAAAAATAGACACATTTGGTAATATTTCATTCTATTTTCCACTTACTGGGGCATTTTAAGCCCCAATGCACCAATAAAGAGAGTGAAGAATGCGCTCTAGATTTATAATAATGTGTATTTTATCATCCAAGTGATTTAAAGTAATCATTTTATTGTGTAAGTGCTGCGGTTCTTACTCAAAGCGTCTCTCTGGAGGTCTGGATGGGGCTTGAGGCTGCGCCGATCCAAAGTCTGACGGTGGAATGACTGTGGATGTAATAACAAATCCAACATTACCAACATTTTGCTCTCCTTTTCAGATGAAGCTACTGAAATTAATTCTCACCATTAGGCCCAAAACTTTCATATCCAGGAACAACAGGCATTAAATCTGCAGGAGGAGCCGTCGCCCCGTCGTCTGGCACGGTGTTCGGATCTGTTTAATGTACATCACAAATTTAATTCACCCTACTGTCTTCTTTAAACATGCTTTAAAGCTGTTACTGTGTTTTTCGTGCAATGAGGAAACAGTAGAAATGTAAACGGGAAACATGCTTCTCGAATGTTATGCTAAAAGAAGCTTTGTTGAAGTGAAAACGGGGTGAACTATAGGCCTATAAGGTTTTTATTATGTGATGTGGTTATGTGGGTTACACTTTATTTTGGTTATCCTTGATAGAGTGTAATTAAGTAATGAGTAATAATTAACTACATTCAGCCACTTACTAAATAGGGTTAGGATTAGGATTAAATTTGGTTTAGGGTTAGTTTAGGCATGTAAATATGCATAATTTAACGTTTAACAAGGACATGATAACGTGTTACCTATAAATGTCTATACAATTGCTCATGTAGACGGTTGTTTAGGGATATTTGAGTACATCTTTTGGAAATCATTTTTTATTACCTGCATAAGATTGACCAGGGCATGATGGGCCAGTGTGGACTTCATCCTGGTCACTGTTGTAAAACCAAAACAATATGTTTTTATAAGCCCACTAACACATATAGAGAGCAAAATACAAAGCAAGCAAGAAAGCAAGAAAGCAAGAAAGAAAGAAAGAAAGAAAGAAAGAAAGAAAGAAAGAAAGAAAGAAAGAAAGAAAGAAAGAAAGACACTCAAATGACTCGTTGCCTTTAGTTCGTCATACTTTGTAGATTCACGAGATAATTCATTGCACGACGTTGCGTTTGTTATTTCAATATTCGTGGCTATTCTCTAATAAAACCAGCATTTATGTCTTCCTAACGGACTTCTCTTCATAATTTCGTTAAGTTTGTCGACCATACCTCAGAAGATGCGTCCTGTCCATCCTCCTTCCTTCTGCGCGATCCACAACTGTAACTTTCGTTTAGTGAGAAGCGAGAGTAAACGGAAGAAAGCGGAAGAGCAGCACTGTAACCTGAGATTATTTCATCATGAAGCTAATATCAAGTTGAGACTTTTATAGGACATTTGACATGGCAGACATCAACATTTTAACTCCCTAGACGATATATGCTATAACTTCGTAAAGAAAAATTGTTTAATGATTAGTTTATTTGGTATTTTTTATATATATTATCTAGTAGTTTGTAAGCATCAATAATTGAACGTCGACAACAGTAGCATAAACAATGTTGGCTGGCTACATGTAAATTGTAACAGTGTTTTGAGTGGTACCAGCATACTACGGTTATTGGAATGAAGCCTGCTATAACGTGTCTTTCAGGTTTAGCCAGTATTTTTGTGATAGCACAGCGCTAATTTATGTAAAGGACAAACAATTCAAAAACAAATATTAATTTAATTTAGGCTTCAAATATTTATTTTACTTTTTTTTTGTCACTCTTGGGCAAATGTAATCAATTGGTTGGCCTACTAATCAATGTAATCCTAATCCTGTTATTGTTGCAATCAGTTGTGTTCAGAATAGGCTACTGTTTTTTAATAGCACTGACATTGTGCAATGATGATCCAAAACAGCGACTCACATGATCATACATTTTTAATCCAGCAAGATATAAATTTAGTTTGCAGTTTTTGTATAAAATGTTCAAACTCATCAAATGGACAGTAGAGTTGAATGCATTGCATCGTGGGATTCATAAATCTCCATTCATAAATCTTTTCCCGTGGCCTCGTGGGATAGTGTCCACACTTCAGAATCTCCCTGGAAGTAGTAGGTCATCCGGGTAACGTTAGGCTACTTTTTGCCTGTGAACACAACTTATTTTGTCACATACTTTTTTTCGCCTATAAGATTTTGGATGCAGCCAACAAGTCAGCTTTCAGATGCAGGCAGCCATTGTTTGAATTCATACAAAATCAGTTTTTTCATGAGAGCGGTTTGGTGAATTAATTTTAAAAGTGCCTTGAAACGCACACCATTATTCAATGGGTTGACATTGTTTCCACTGAAACAGGAAGACAGGGTAGGGCACATAGAGTTTCTCCCCAAATAGCCAATAGCATTTAGTTTATGTTACAGCTCGACCAGAGCCGTTGAGCTCAGTAAAGCCGCAGTTTCCTCCAAACCTCTAACCGTTTCTTATATAGCATGCAGAATTCAGATGGGTCCGATACGTTTATGTTGGTCTGCACCGACTCGCGCATATGATCCGCTCTGTGCTATCGTGTCGCGTGACACTAACATGAAACCGGACTTCATTCACCCCAATGGAAAGCATATTTACACTGTCTAAATCGGTCCCCTATATAGTACAATATGTGCCGTTAACCATGTAGAAAATAGTAAATGTGTGAACAAGTGACCGATTTCAGCCTATAGTGTAGGGGGCGGGGCTTCAGAATCTAGAGAGCCTTTGATTGGACAGAAAATCTGATGAGAAGCTGAAGTGTAGAGTGATGTCATCAAAATCACTGATCCATATAGAGTGGTGCAGGACAACGAGCGCAGAGCTAAAAAGAGGCGGAGCTACATGAGGTCTATATAGAGTGGTGCAGGTATGACGTTAGCCTGGGAAAACCTGACGAACTTCCAGCAAAATTTCAGATTCGCTCTGCAAGTCAGTCTGGCCAAGAGCCCATTCAAGCCAATTTCCATTTTTTCCAAATCGAGGCACCAATCACAAACGTTGAGGCGGGCTTTACAAGATGACAATCCATCTGATTGGTTTTAGGTCTATCCAATTGCGCCCAGAGGCATTTAAGCGACGTCCGTTGGTGACGCCCCTTTGGAAATGGGCTGCGAATGAACCGCATACCCACTCTCAGTTACAACTGAGAAGGGTCTGGTGTCAACCAGGCTAGGTATGACGTCACTTTGTAGGCCAACTGGCAGTTCTCATCACACTGGTTCCCTCGACAAAAACCCAATAGGATTTTCCCATAGGCTTTTGGATTATCGCTAAAAACTAGCTCTGTGATCAACAAAAGTTTATGATACTTACACGTTTTTGTCCATCAAGATAATTATCACAGATGAACACAACTTTTATGAATTTGGAAGCCTAAATGCAGTCGCCAGAAGTAAAAAGCTAAAGTTAGGCTATAAATGAACTACACTGTTCCACGACTTCAACGACACCATCACTGAGCCTTATTTAAAAACATTTACCCTGAACGTTTGAGTTAAAGTAGTTTGTAAGAGCACAATTATAAGCATAACGGCATAATTAAAGCATAATTAAAAGCGGACTGAGTTTATCTGTTCAGCGTGATGACGTTTGATCTCCTCGACGGCCTCTGTAGTCCCATTTAGCCACTTGTTAACAACCGCCTTTTTCAAAACATGTAACAGCTTCAAAAAATCACGAGTGGGGTAATATTGATGTATTTTATGTTGTGGAATATAACGTGAAATCATCTTGAGCTTGTGTTCAGCACATTCACATACCTTATTTCAGCCATTTAACCAAAACCTCATTAAAAAAACCCCAATTTAATTAGTGCTAACATGCGCTTTTGCGTTTTGACCTACAAAGTGATGTCATACCTTCACCACTGTAATGGCAGAAGTGAGAGACTCTAAGTTTTTAATGCTTATATCGTCTAAATGTGAATTTTGTCATTGTTTTGGAGCACACTATAGCTTACAGCAAGGCTACTGAAAGCCAAAAAAACTCCAAAAAACTTGATTTCATGAGGACTTATTGCTGAGGTATCACTAATAATACACATGAATAAACACAATTGCAAATGTACATACTCAATATAGTACATAACTTGGGATGTTATGTTATGTTATTTAAAGCTTAAAATATGTTTTATTTGGTAAAACCCATGAAATAATTTGAAACAGTTTCCCCTGCTAGATTAGATACATACATAAGACCTTTTCCATGCAGCAGTTGTGCAGCCAGCGGCAATGTTGTGCACGGACACATTTCAGAGCAGGAGCCACATCCGGCGCCTGATGTTATTTCCGGGCCGTCACTGCGTCACTTCCTCCTCTTCTTCAGGACTGTCTTCGGTAAAGGCAGGCTGAACGGTGAGCGGAATAAAATCTCAATTCATCCTTTTACATTCTAATGAAAATAAACGTTTCGTAGTCCATATCGATGTGTTACTGTTCACTGCACTCAAATGTGCTGATATTGCGGCTCATAGAGCGAATTTATGTGCGGTATTTATATGAATGATCACACGATACATGGCGGCCATTGGTGCGATCTGCATGAAACCCTGAAGTCACAGATTATAATGAATACTGCTCTGCTAGCTTTAACATTACAGCAGAGTCCCATATAATTAAAAATTGAAAAATGTATTCATACTCATGCTCAATATGAGCGTCAAATCAGTCCAATATCACGCATGTTATGTTTACTACTGCTACTTGTGCTACTAGTTACATGTGTTGTGCATGATGTTTAGCGTATATTATGGATTTATGCCGTAGTTTAAAACCATATTTTGCTTTAAACTTGCGTCTTATCGCGTGTTTTAGTTTAACTTGTTTTTTGTTGACTTGTCTGAAGACAATACTGTTTGCTAACATTGCTAACGTACATGCTACATGTCAACGTAGATTGCTTGCCTTTAGTCAAAAATATGAGTCATTGTTAATCATGAATGATTCGTTAGTTATGTACATTTAAATGTCTAATTCATTGTTGCTTGTTCACTTTTGTAGGCATCATGGCAGCCCTCAGACCCCTCACCAAACCTAATATTGTCAAGAAAAGGACTAAGAAGTTTATCAGACATCAGTCGGACCGATATGTCAAGATCAGTGTAAGAAACCTGGAATATCAAGGAAGTTGTGATTTAGAGACTCAGAAAATCTATGGAAATTTACCCTATAGATTTTGTGAACAATTTATCCATGCATACATTTTATTCTGAGATCTATCGCTACTGCCTTTTCATCATGACTGTTAACACTACAATACTTGATCATCTTTTTTATAAATGCAATGTTTTTATGCAAGTTGTATTGCATAATTGCTGAAGACTTGCTGCAAGTTCTCTGATCATCTTTGAGCAGTAGCATTTTATTTATTTTTTAATGTAATAGCTGTCCAAAACCTATTCGAGATCATATGTAGCTTGATGTGTTAGATGACTCAATTAACTTAATCTTCTAAATAATTCATGGTCTAATGTAAATGTGTCTGTAGAAAAACTGGAGGAAGCCCAGAGGTATTGACAACAGAGTGCGCAGGCGCTTCAAGGGTCAGATGTTGATGCCCAACATCGGTTATGGAAGCAACAAAAAGACCAAACACATGCTGCCCTCTGGATTCAAGAAGTTCCTGGTCCACAATATCAAAGAACTTGAAGTCCTCATGATGAGCAACAAGTAAGAGCAGAAGGATTTTGCTACTTTTATACCCAATGTGAATTTGCTTGGATGAATATTGTGTGCAACTCCTTAGTTTTAATATGTGGGTTCTTTGTGGTTGAATATGTAGCTAATATTAGAACGGTCTGTCTCTGTGATCATACCTGCTGAATTGCCCGTATTCATCCCAGGTGTTGAATTCAGAGAAATATCATGGCGGAGGAAATACCCATTCTACCTCTAGCTCTTGCCATAGCCAGCAGGTGGAAGATAATCTGCTACAAGTGACTAGTACTTGTATTTGAGGCTCTTCAATGTATAACTAGGTCCTATACTAGAGTATTACAAGTGTAACTTGAACAAGTGTTTTTTTTTAGGGAGGGCAGCAATGTTGCGTTCTCATTAAAAAAAAAAAAAAAGTGAATTTGTGTAACCTTAAGGTTTTTCTTTCCCTCCAGGACCCATTGTGCTGAGATCGCCCACAATGTGTCCTCAAAGAACAGGAAGCTGATCGTGGAGAGGGCCGCACAGTTGGCCATTAAGGTCACGAACCCCAACGCCAGACTCCGCAGCGAGGAGAACGAATAGTCTGGTTATCTTGTTGTCTTTTCAATAAAGTGAAAAATATAAAACCAGATTTTCTAATATTGTCATTTCTTTTTGT